ATCCATGCCAAGCCCTAAAGAAACATGCTTCCAATGGCACGTTTTGGCTGTAATGTAGCATTCCACTCATTCAACAAATGCTTTTTTAGTACCTCAAACTCACTCAGAATAGAAAAATACAAACTTAAACTATACTATAAAACTGTTTTATCATATTTGCAAAAATTCAGAAGTTTGATTGTACAGGCTGTTGGTGAGGCTCTGGGGGAAAGGACATAGCAAGTGGGAAGTAAACAAGGACACTTTTTCTAATATCTCCCATAGCTGCCGAGTACACCCTCTCTTTGTAATTTTACTTCTTGGAATATACAAAATCATGTGCTTATAAAGTTATTCAGTACAGTACAATGTGTCAGCAAAAGATTGGAACCACCTATAAATGCCTACTAATAGAAGCCAGTTAAATAATTTATTCAATGCAAGATAAGGAAAGCTCTCTAAGAACCAATATTGAAAAAACATTTAGAACATGAAAAAACATGTGTGTGTGTGTGTGTGTGTAATATATATATATATATATGTGTGTGTGTGTGTGTATACACACTTTATATGCACTGCATTTTATATATATGCTAAACCATGAACTGCATTACCTATTCAAAAAATTAATGGAAAAAATATATTGAAGAGCTCAGTATGTGTCAAGCATCATTCCAAGTATTGGAGACATTGCAGTGAACAACATTACTGGCCTACAAATTTCTGCCCTCATAAATTAACATTCTAGTGGAGAGAGACATACATTAACCAAATAATTAAACAAATGGTATGTCAAACGATCTTAAGTATTGTGGAGGAAAATAAAGCACAGAAGACAGGAGGAGAATAGTCACAATTTTTAAAAGGGTTTAGTCAGTGATCAGGAGAGTTTCTCTGAGAAAACATTTGGTATGAAGACCTTAAAGAAGATGGAGAAGCTCGTCACATAGCTATAGGAGGAAAGCGTGCCCAGGACAAAGACAGAGTAAGTACAGAAGCTTTTAAATTGAAGTAAACTTGATATATTCAGGAACAGCAAAGATCTGTGTGGCTGGAACAGAGAAGAGTAGAAGGAGATGAGTTCCAAGAGGATCAGATCACGAAAGGCCTTCTGGAAAACTTAATAAAGATTTTAGCTTTTACTGAGTAAGAAGAGAAGGCACTGAAGGGTTTTAAGAGAGGAATAACATGATCTCATTTTCATTTTCATGAGATCTGGGTGAGAACATAATGAAGAAGGTACATGAGCAGGCAAACCTGCTAAAAGTAAACTTCACCAATTCAGGCAAGAGATGACAATGGTTTGGAAGTAATAATAAGCAGTGATTGGCTTATGGATATAATTTGATAGTTAAGAGCCAGAAATATTTGCTGAAAGATTGGGTGTGCGATATACTAGTAAAAAAGGACAATCAAGAAAGATTTCAATATTTTTGGCCAAGGAAATGAAAGGATGGAGTTGCCATTTTCTGAAAGAAGGAAGAATACAATAGGAGGTGGTTCAGAGCTAGAATATCAGAAACTCAGTTTTTTAATATATCAAGTTTAAGTTACTAGTAGATTCCAAATAGAGATGTAGAATAGGTGTCTGAATACAGGAGTATGAGTTCAGAGGGGAAGTCCAAGCTAAGAATGTAAGTTTGCAAATTGTTAGTGATAAATGATATTTAAAACTGTAAGACTTGGATGAGATCACCAAAATGGATTCTATAGAGTTTATCTTCTGATGTAATCAAAATAGCTGGCTGATAGTCCAGCAGAAGACTGGCACTCACATTTCACAGTGAGAAAATAACTATGGCTTAAGAACAACCTTGATTTTATAAATATTCCAAATTTAAGAGGAAACCAGGATTAAAACCTAGCTCCTCATACATAAACAAGGCTTCATTCTCTGGAAATGTGATAACTAGTATTTGATTTGAACTACCTAAAAGGCAGACAGTCTCCTAAGAGCACTAAAAGATGTCAATTTTTTTAAATCTTACATATAACTTCTTAGGATCTGTTGTGAATTCAGCTGAAATAAAAGAATAACTTAGAAATCAGCATTTCAAATATTCTTCCAATAAAAAAAAACCTATATTTTAAAATTAACTGATGCTACTAAACAAGTGGTACAGGTGGTTTTGTATGAAGAGCCAACTGGCTTTCTATCATAGTCATTCTACACACAGGGCCACATAATACTCATGAAATGAATAACTGGACCTGTATTTGTCATCACAGGTCCAATAAGACGAGGTGATATAACTACGTTTAGTAAGGAAAGAGCTTCCTGACTCCTCCTGTTGTAGATAAGTTATGGGCCCCCAAAAACCAGCATAAATAGACTTCATTTAACCATGACGTTATGGAGCAGAAGAAAGTCCCAGAAGTCATCAATCCTCTCATTTTAGAGATAAGTTAACTCAATGCCATTTAGTGACAGACTCAAAACCACCACCAACAATGGGCTTCCCTGTCATCTGTCACCAGCTATTCCCTAATTGCATTAATGATCATTTTATTGAAATAGAGAAACAGTTTATGATCACTTCTAGGCTCAGAACGTAATCTGAGCTAGAAGACCAAAAACAAGAACAAAAAAAGATCACTTTCCTTATATCTCTTACACAAGTTTTTACATCATGGTCATCAACCAGTCCTTTGACTACTCTCTTTTTAGAAACTACTATTATGATTATTAACATTACAATTCTAATAACAATTGCTATCATTTACCACATACCTAAAATGCACTAAGTACTATGTTAATTACTATTATCAGAGGTAACATTGAAGCAAGGATACAGATGTTCTATGAAGATAACCAAGAGCTAATTATATAGAAATGTATCAAACATTTAAAATACTCTGGCTCTGTCATATATTGCCAATGATAAAACCAATTAGTGAGGGTAAATCAAATATTTTAAGATCTGCAAAACTGCTTATACCTTTAGGACAAATGGCAGCCAAGCTGTTTACTTTCCTCTGGACACAAAGGAAGACATGTCCCAGACCCCTTTTCACCTAAAAGGAGCAACTCCAATGTATGGCCGATAGAATATAATGGAATTAAGCTGGGCCATTTCCATTAAGAATATTTCCCTCAAATAATCCATCTCTCTCTTGCCGTGCCAGAGGATGTATTGATGGCAGCAGCATTCCAAAATAGAAAGAGCCTGGGTACCTGAGTCACCACTTCTCGGACATCTGCCAGGACACTACCTGATAAAGAACACCTGCACTGAACTAAGTGTAAGAAATGTATTATGTTAAGACACTGAGATTTGTGGTATTTGTTACAGTAGCTAGTATTCATCATTGAAATGACTACAATTGTTTTTAAAATATGCAATGTTGCCCAGGGCCGGTGTGGCTCAGTTTGTTGGAGTGCTGTCCTATACACTGAAATGTGGCAGGTTCAATTCCCAGTCGGGGCACATAGCCAGGTTGTAGTTCCATCCCCCATTGGCACGTAGGGGAAGCAAATGATCCATCTCTCTTTTTCTTTCATATTCTCTCTCTCTCTCTCTCTCTCTCTCTCTCTCATATAATAAAGAACAAATCTATCGTATCTTCAGGTGAGGATGAAAATATGTAAATGCATGCAATGGTCAGATTAAAAAATAAGAATGAAATAAAATTATGTGAAAATGGCAGACTTCAGAGTCCTTTTTCATCCTTAAAAATTATTTTAATGCTAATTAAAATAGGGGTGAGGTGGTTCTACTCTATATAATCCCTAATTGAATGTTTTAGTGAGCATATGCTAGTATTGAAATTTTTTTAAGTTGTTAAAACAACTACTGCTTTAATAATGGTTTGGGAAAGTAATTAAAACCAAAAGATATCCCTGACTGGTTTGGCTCAGTGGATAGAGTGTAGGCCTTCGAACTTAAGGGTCCCAGGTTCGATTCCAGTCAAGGGCCTGTACCTTGATTGCGGACATATCCCCAGTAGGGGGTGTGCAGGAGGCAACTGATTGGTATTTCTCTCTCATCAGATGTTTTTGACTCTCTATCCTTCTCCCTTCCTCTCTGTAAAAAAAATCAATAATTAAAAAAAACAAAACACAAAAGATAAATGTCATTCAAATATTTCATCTTTGCCACAGGAAAAAAATTAAAAATCCTTAGTAACTTTCATTAAAATAATGCCACCTTTTGTTAATATAAGACCTTTAGTCACATTGTAACAAGTGTTATCACCTTATCTCAGCTGATCCTCATAAAAATCTATCTTGTTAGCTTCACAGAACCTCCTTATTTCCATTTTACAAATGGAAAAAAAATTAGGTCCAAAAAGCCATCTTTTTCCAAAGTCATATAGCTAGTGAGTAGCTGAGCTAGAACTAGTATTGATATTTTCAATCCTAATCCAATACCCCCGTCATTATACTTGCTTCTCTTCTTACACCACCGATTATATCAAAGTGCCTTTCACTCAATATGTATTCAAAAGATGCTTGTGGTTTTGCATAAAATATCTGGTCTACTCTTAGAATTGTCACTTATGGAAGAATCAACATTTCAATACATAAAACTTAGTTCATAAAAATCATGACAATTCTTATAAAAAAATGACTCCATATTCACAAGAAATTACAGAAATGAGAAAATATTAACTAGGACCCAATATTACCATAGTATTAAAGAAAGCAATTACATTTTAAAGAAAAGCAAATTATTCTCCCTTTGGGCTAAAAGACAGCATATTCTACTGAGGTAAGCCCATCTCTAGTCACATGTGCAGTCACATGGATACTGGCCTCATATATTTTAACTGGAAAAATGATATTAATAGCCAACATTCTTAAAGGAATGATAAACATATCAATGTAAGGCTCAGTTATCTGAAAGATCTACTTAAACATCATGTTTCTTTAATATATATAACAACTGCTCAGGGAAATATTTTCACAACATGACAATTTAGCTTTCCAGTAAGCAATAACAGCAAGCAGCACTTGTGTCACAAAAGAATAAAAACGAGACATAATGATCTGTGGGGAGTGAGTCCACAGATTCCCTTACCTTTATATATCTTTTCAGAATTACACAAGTGAAGTGTGAAGTAGGTATCAAGGAGTTGATGGCCATTTCTGTTAACAATGTTCCGGGCAGCGATGTTCCGAAGGTGTCTAAGACGACGCTAAAAAGTAGCCAAAAAATAAAAAGAGAGAGAGAGAGAGAGAGATGCTCAGTTTTTTCCTCTTATAAAATTTTCTGAAAGTTACAATTCAAAAAAAAATGAAAGACAGTAAGTTGTCCCAGTCATTTATTTGTTGAGACAGCAACCTTAACGGAGTTTCTTATTTATGTCTCAGCATCCCCTCCCTATCTCATTGACAAGGTTTAAAAAATGTCACTTTCATGATGTGAGCATGAAATGACAATATGAAATATTTTTAAAAAGCACAAATGTTTACTTGCAGAATAGCCTTAGAATTTCCTGGAACATAAACTAAGTAGTAATTTGCTGCTTCCCCCCGACCCCCTTCAGAAGAATGTGCTGGTGGACATGCAAAGTCCATCTCAAACCAACAGAAAGTCAGCAGGCTCCATATTGCTAGTTTTGACCATCTATCTGTACAATCAAGAAAAGAGGCCAAAACCAAAAAATTAAAGCAGTAACTCATGGTTACTCCATTCAGCCAATAATTCAACTGTTGTGAGCTTAGATTCTCACCACCAGCAGCCAACCAAGACCTCCTTCCCAACAATTTCTCAAACTAGACTGCATCAATTATTTGGAGTTACAAGTGTGTTAGAAAGGCAAAAGCTCCTTAGGCAACAGTACAAATCAACAAAAATACAAGATAACTTTTTTTCATATAACAATGAAAAAAAATGCTGGCAATGCTGAAATCTGAGATTCATTCCCAAAAGCTGGTTCCCTGTGTCAAATGATTATTTTTGGAGATTTAAAAATAGAAACAAAGTGCTCAGTCTTAAAATATGCTTAAAGCTCTCCCTTTGGGCTAAAAGACAGCATATTCTACTGAGGTAAGCCCATCTCTAGTCACATGTGCAGTCAACCAGAAAAGTACAGTTCTTTCCTTTCTCCCACCCCAGAGATTAAAATTCTTTAAGAGAGAAGGTTATTGTCTAATAAATTTGTTTAATCCTCTAAGTATGAAAAGTCCCAAATGTATTTACAGAAAATTCCCAGGGCTTCCTCTAAAAGATTCATTTCCCCACAATCTGCAAACAGTTTTCATTTCACACCCTCAATTACAGCAACGATTTCCTCCTAACTCTATATTTTCCATTAGCCCTCTCAGTCAAGATCTTGAATTGACAGGCCCACTAATTGCCTACACACAGTAATCACATTTATTTTGCTGTTAAGACTGCAATCCTGTCCTCTATTGAAAAGCTTGAGAATATCACCCAAAGCTTCTAGCACCAAATACAAACTTCCCATTACTATCTTCAAAGCCTGTGCAATCGCCATCTCCACATCCTGTCCTTACTTCACACTAGACCTTCCATGTGCTTAACCCCCAGTCACACATGACAGCTTACGGTTCCATGCATGTTCCCAGCTCCATGCTTTTGCTAGAAATGATCTAGAATACCATTCACTTTAAAGAGATCTCATTTCCACATCAAAATTAAGGAGACAAGATACCTCCTTCCTTCGCTCTAATTGAAAGTAATTGCTCCTTTCTTAGAATAAGAACTTTGCTTCTATCTCTTCTATACACTTATTTTCATTCAGCCTTGTATTTCAGGTAGTTGTTTACAGTCATTCTCCCTATTAATCTAGGAAGAAAAGACTTAATGGCAGAGACCATTACCATCACTATACTGTTAGCATTTATTAAATGCTTACCATGTGCCATGTACTGTGCGAAACACTTCATACATGTGATCTATTTAATCCTCATAACAATCCTATGAGGTTAGGATTACTCATTATCATTATTCATCTTTTAATCTCAACATTTCTAAATAACAAAATATAAACAAATAAAACAGTAAATGATAATGAGAGGGATATCTCAAAAGAAGGAAAACAGGAAGAAAGCAAAGAGGTTATATGTATCTCTCCAAATACAGTATTCACACACACACATATATGTACATTATACACACATATATATCTATATATACCTAATAGTCATAATCTGGTCTTTATATTCGATTCCTACAGACGGCAGAGCATTGACCTATCCTTCAACTCAAGAGAGTAATTTTATGACAAATACAAGGACAACGGGACTGACTGCCTTAACAAAGCAAAACAGAGACTGAATCTGTAATGAATGCACAGATATTGCGAAGGGATCTTTGTAATTAAATTACACAGTCTTTGGAATTACTCTTCAAAACAACATTCAATGCAGTTTTCTTTACCAACAATCTCTAAACTTTCTGAAATGCTCCGTGCTTTCAGTTATGAAATACTCTTGGCATTTCATTCTACAGCAATATAATAGGCAGCCAAGTTGTGCACTAGTAACACCCATCCCCAAATCTAAAGCTGAATAGATTTTAATTTTTAAGTTGGAATAAACATAACTTTAAAATCTTTGAAACACAACCTATAAAACATCCTATACAGAAGTTAAAAATATTCACTAAATAGTTTATATTGAAACTTTAATGTTTATTGCATGTAATATTATATTTGAAATTGTTTTTCTTGAAAATTAAAAAGAAATCCACTAACATCTAAAATTAAAACCTCCTATTCACCTTTGATTTGGAGGTCTGAAGGATATAATTAAAGCACAAGTCTGCTACCTGAAATGCTGGCAGTAGGCAAATGCTGAAATGCTGACTCGAAATTCCTTAATTTTTTAACAAATCTTTCCAGAATAATTTCTAAAACAAGACTTAAGTGGCATGCACTGAAGATCTGAAACATTTGCTTTTGTTTTAAAAAAAAAAAATTAGTGTGATTCTAAACTGGTGCCTCTAAAGAACCTAAAATGGTTGTTTTTCTTATCAATACTATTAATGTTATTGGAGAACTGCTTTAAAATCTAACAGTCGGGCCCTAGCTGGTTTGGCTCAGTGGATAGAGCGTCAGCCTGCAGACTGAAGGGTCCTGGGTTTGATTCCAGCAAAGGGCACATGCCGGGGTTGCAGGTTCAATCCCCAATGGGGGATGTGCAGGAGGCAGCCGATCAATGATTCTATCTCTCTCTCCCTCTCCTTTCCTCTCTGAAATTAATAAAGAAATATATTTTTTAAAAAGTTTAACAGTAGGCTTTACATTTTGTTTTGTTTTGTCCTGTCCAGCAACCGTATTGATAAAAACAAACTCAGATTTTCTTTTATAGAACCATCCTCCCCTATTATCAATGTATATTTCCTGTCCAAGGATGTTCACATGACTCAAATCAGGCCAATCAGCAGAGCCCACATCCCTGACCATAATATAATACATGATTCATGAAGGGTCCATGAAAGAGAAAGAAATTGTCTTAAAATGGGAGTTTTTGTTGTTGTTGTTGTTGTTCTTTTTTTTCCTACTGGCCTTGAAACTGGAAGTATAATCATAATTATAGATATGCACACCCAAACAAATATTCTACCTTGTGGCAAACTGCAGTTTCCAAAGAATGCCTGCACCAATACTTCCATCCTACACGTTCTCTTACAATGTGAGTTGCCACTTCTCCATTACAAAGTGGGGGTCTATGTTCCATTCCCCCTTAAACTTGGGCAGACCTGTGATTGTGGTAAAAATGATTCTATGTGGCCTCTGAGGCTAAGTCATATAATCACCTCGTCCTCTTGCAGGATGCTCTTCCTTGGAATTCAGTCACCCTGCAACGAGGCGGCCACGCAGCCAGGTGGAAAGGATTTCCATGGTGTTCTCCACAGCCCCAGATGAGCTCCCAGCTAAAGCAGACATATGACCACTTCAGTCCCCAGCCTTGAGACTCAGAAATGAATGACATCAAGTAAAGCACAGAAAAGTTGTTCCCACCAAGCCCAAACTGAACTGAATATTTGTGAGCAAAATGATGTTGTTTTAAGCCACTGAATTTCTCATCTGTTACTCAGCAATAGAAAATGAAGAGACCTATCTGACTAAAGATTCAAACTATTTTATCTTGATCAAGGTTTATATGTATAAGGAAAACAATGTTGGGAGAAATATAAAACAGTCCAGTTTGATGGGAGGGCAATTTAGCAATAATTATCAAATTTTAAATTGCATATAATATTTGACCAAGCAATTCCCTAAGTCACAAAAATGTGCACAAATATGCTTATTGCAATCCCATCTAATAAAGAGGCAATATGCTAATTGACCCTCATGCCATTGCAAAGATGGGGGCACCCACAGCCAACAAGGAGGGAATACCATATGCTGATTGACTGCCATGCCCTCAAAGATGGGGGCACCCACAGCCACAAGATGGCAGCACCCAGTACTCTCAGCCCTCCTGGAGTGGCGGGCCAGGCCACTCCACACGCCTGCCTCCAAAGTCTCCAAGACCCCTGAGGCCCCCAGCCACCCAGGGCCAGCCTGAGGCATAGGTAATCAGGGCTAGCCAAGGCAGTGGCAACAGCAGAGGTCTAACGGGGCGTGGCCTTCCCCTGATTGACGGGGCACCACCTGCCCTTGAGGGCTCCCAGACTGTGAGAGGGGGCAGGCTGGGCTGAGGGACTCCCCTCCAGTGCATGAATTTTCATGCACCAGGCCTCTAGTATTGGTTATAAAAGCAAAAACTAAATAACCACTCTTAAATTGTGGTACACTCAGACAATGGAAAACAAACTATATAACCATTTTTTTTTAAAGTGCCAATACAGAACAAAACAAGAGAGCAAGAAATTTTAAACATTCATGTAAAGAAATATACCTGAGCAGGTCAAGGTTTATATGCATAAGGAACATATATCCTGAATGATATAGATCAAGGGTTGGCCAACTTGTTTCACAAAGGGTCAAAGAGTAAAGACTTCCCCTTTTCAGGGCACAGCCTGTCTCTGCACATTCTTAGTTTTTATGTTTGTTTACAATCCTTTAGCAATGTAAACACCTTTCTTACCTCATCAGTTGTTATAGAAAACAATGACTGCTGACCCTAATGTAGATCATCACAGATAGTATGAGATAGTTTAAAGTAATACCTGGTTTGGAAGTTTACTCAAACTTCTAGACACCTCCCTTGTTCCTATTTT